CTTAGTCATTTAGGGCCTAGGGTTATAATTGTTAGATATACGGAGAAACAATTCTTCCGACATTTTACACGATTACAAATATAAATTTGTTGTCAACCGAATGTAACTTGTGTTCAGTGCTGAATACGTTTAAGACGATATGCACTTTAGTTGAATTGATTAAAATAGTTGTATTGCTTCAAAAAAAATTAGCAATTGCATTAAAAGATTCAATCTACAAAAACAAATTGTAGAGGCTCACATACATACCGATCATCTAACTCATGCAAAATATTAACTCACATAATTTGATTGTTAACAAAAAATATATAAACACATTTCGCATTTCATCAAAATGGATACATATCTCAGAATCTCACTTAATGGTTATGTACAAGCGCACTTATCTAAACTGAAACCGGTCTATTTAATTAACATTGTTTTAACGTTTGTCATATCACTATAAAGTGTAAGGGGCAAATATAACGACGTTTCATTTTTATGTCTATTGGGGTACAGAATCTCTCTCGCGGCAAATTAGACTTGAGTGATGTTCATACAACAGTAGTAATTGCTTTTTCGTTCGTCGGTTTTTTGTTGGGTTGTTTTCCGGGGGGAGGGGGGGTTAAGGGGAAGAACTAAGTAAGACACAATGTAACTGATACACTGCACAAAGAAATCGTTACCTGTAACAATTGTTACGGTCAATAACTGCACTCATTATAGTAACAAGTCTACACCCGTTCACTGTCGACACTCCAAACATCATTGATCATGTTCGTGTAACAACCGTCACTCCGTATCAAGCTGACACTAACCAACATAAGGGTGAGCGATGACCAGTACATACCTTGTCCTAGGTCCTATTTGTAAACACACTGATGCCTTATGCATGTGCTTGACTTGTTTGGCAGATCTGTAAACGTGATGCTAGCAATAACTCATTGAATAAACGAGTATGCACTTTTATTGGTACCTACGTGGCTGGTGGCTGTCGTTGATACATGTACGTACGTACATTTATACAAAGCTTTTTCCATGAAATTGCGTCCATATTACTTCATTAACGACAAGAAGCATACTCCGTCACTCTGGATTCATGCAACAACCAATGAATAACATCGTTTTGATTTATTGCAATTTCCGAGCATGCATTTAAAAAATTGATATCATTATAGTTCTGTCATCCCAATAATTATATTCATACATTCTAACATTTGTTGATTTAACTGATAATATTTCAATCAAAATGTTGGCTAATTTTCCTGCGGATAATTATTATTTCCGGAAGTCATCGATACAAATTTGATATAATTCATTCGTCATCAGCAGACCTGGTTATGATCTGTAGCTATTCTGAACGGGTGGTCATCATTACTTTGATAGGTTCGAGGGATTTATTACAAGAGAGGATTCTTTATTAACGAATTTCAGTCTGCACGGGGCAACAAATAAGATGAAGTTTATTTATAATATTGATTGAGTTATTCATGTAGTTTAATTACATTCATGTAATTGTGATCTTATGACATCGCTAGGCCAGCGAGTTTAGAACAATAACAGTTATGGAAAATATGAAATGTACATACAGTTTACCTAGAGTCGATATAAGATAAATACGTTTTTGTAATATTTATCTATTGTTCTGATTTTATTATTTTATTATTTTGTCTTTCGTAAAATGGAATGCATTGTTATTCTCATTTTGAGGAAATAACGATAATAATAATTCCACCTGGAGCCCGATTCCACATGGAAGCCCGAATCCCTTGGCTTTAATCGTGAATTTAAGCGTCATGAGAACAATCATGTTTTACCTTACGAAACTCCCCGCTACTGAAAACAGTGTAAGTGATATACCAAGTATCCACAGTAATGATCAGATGTTAGATAAGTGACTAGAATGTAATGACTGTTACATTCCTGGTCAAAATATATATATCACTTCCATCATGTCGTCCTCAGACTTTTCGTGAGCCGAGCATGTAAGATTATCCCAAAAATATCTCGGACACCGAGAATTTATCTCAAGGCAAGTCAGGCAATGTGATTTCCAGCCTCTGTGCTGTCCACTAACTGGTAGCTTACGGCGGCTATATACGGATGTATTGGACAATAACTTCGTTAAGAGAAACTGACTTCATACACAATACTGATGTCAAATGGTGTTTAATGTTTGGACATTCACTGCACTGCCTCCTTCAAAACTTTATGTAAAATTACCGCGCTAAAATAGATTATTTAAATGAACATTAAGAAGCCAGGTCACGATTTGAATTAAAATACAAATGCTATATCAAGGTTATCATTTTATTACATAAACATTAATTTTCTCTAATGTCCATTATGTCGTATGACAACAGTACGAGGAACTTTTTAGTGTTGTAATGAGTATTTTTTTAATACAATTAGTCTATTCCGTGACTGTACCTAAAGTATAATAAGTGTATTTCATGGGTGTAATTTTAACATAATTAGTGTATATCGTGGGTGTATAATTTACATAATGTATTAGGTGTGTGTGCTTTTGAGTTATAAATAGACATACAAATAGCGTTATATTTGATTATCCTTCCTAATTTGAATCACATTTTATCTGATGTTTTTAAATGCTACTGCAAATAGGTGGCACAATGATATACCAGAATATTTGCTTTCGAATATGGAAAGCATTGTTAATCATGAAAGTGTGCTGGGGACCAGATTTCTGTAAGTTTACTAACCTCTGGACACCATTGGGATTGGGAAAAGATCCACCTCTTGTTAATTACGGATGATTGGCGCTAATGAGTGATTGCAGACAACGATCCCTGATCGACAACATCACTTGGGTAGTGCTGGGCTTTTGCGTTCATATGGGGATTTGGGAATATGAAGTCGTGCACGTATTTTAAAAGAAAAGCAAGAACAAATGTAGTCCAGATGACGTTGCATCAGAAATGAAATCAATGAGGGATACTGAGGGCAGACGAGTTTTTCAGTTGAATGAATGCTTGAATAGTACTCAGATTACATCTTTTTTCTCTCGATTGGTATCTGCTAATTCAAGTAACAACAACAAAATAGTACCTGAAGAGGATGACTTGGTAGCTGCTGCTGTTGCAATCAATCAATCTGAATTATTTGAATCAATTAACTCTGCACATTCAACAAATGATTGTTAAATTATCTTGCTTATAGTCACTGTATAGCTTGTGATTTAGGGTGCTACAATGTACAAACAGTTTCCTTAAAAAATATTATGGGTAAATATACAGTCTATGTGAATCTACCCTCATTGAAAAGTGAAATGTTTGAAATCAAATCTGATCACAATTGATCTCATATTATTTAGAAGAAAAAAATTACATGTTGATTTATTCAATGTTTGAGAGGAGGGAGGCATATGGTAGAAAAAACAAATGCTTTGTATTGCTTTCTTAGCAATTTATATATATATTGATTTTCACACCATTCACAATTCTGATATTATTTCTAAGATGCTAGAATTGTCAAAATGAACAATGATAGATATAAAGCCTTTTTCTTAACAGACAATTCATTTCAGACATTACAAGTTTATATAAATCACATTTGGTAATAAGCCTTATTGTTTGCCTGATTAAGATGTAAATTACCCAAATATTTTTTCAGCTGTTTAATTCATTATTTCAAAGTCTTTCTTCAATATATTGTCCATTTGTTTATTTGTTACAATGTTTATTCTGAATTAATGACGTTTAAAAGTTTTATTGCTGCTTTCAAGCGGGTTAAGTAAGACCAATTTAATTTTGTGTCCCTGTAATTGTTAAAATATATAAATATTGGTCAAAATAGGAAAAAACTGAAAAACGGATTACCTCCCTTTATTTTCATACATTTACTTCAATCTTGTAAGTTTGCACAACAAAAAAAACTTTCTGAAAGATTTCCAGTAAATACTCTTTCATATGTATAAAAATATTATAATTTTACTTGAAGGGTTTTGTAAGAATTTTTATCCTTAATATTGGTCAAAATAGGAAAAAACTGAAAAACGGATTACCTCCCCTTATTTTCATACATTTACTTCAATCTTGTAAGTTTGCACAGCAACAAAAATCTTTCTGAAAGATTTCCAGTTAGTACTCTTTCATATGATGAAAATATTATAATTTTTCTTGAAGGGTTTTGTAAGAATTTTAATCCTTAATATTGGTCAAAATAGGGGAAAACTGAAAAAACGGATTACCTCCCTTGTTTAACCATTCGTCTATTTGAATCTTGGAAGTTTGCACAATTTTTTTTTAATTTCTGAAAGAACTTTAGTAAGTATTCTTTAATGTGGATATACATATTATGGTTTAACTCGTGGGGTTTTGTGAAAAAAAAATCTTAAAAATTGGTAAAAATGAAGAAAACTCCAATATTAAGAAAATGGTGTTGTACCCCTTTTTGATACGGAGGTCTTAATAATAAAGGATTTGAAACTTCTCTTTATTTTCTTTCATTGTGGTAGATTATATCTGTAAATGAATAAATATATCATTACAATTTGTCTGCTTTTGATTTCTTGTTTCTAAAAGAATATTTAATATGCAGTTATTTATGCCAATTTATCTAAACCAGAACCCACAATCTAACATTTGGTTGCCATGGCAACCAATGTGTCCTGGCAACAGAAATAAATATGTTTTAATCAATCTTGATTGAAGTCAAGTTAACATACCAAATTTGGTCATGATCTGTTGACCCCCATGTATCACTCATTGCATGATTCTTACACGGAGCCCTACTTAAGACATTGACTCGAGAGTGACGTCATCATTTTTCTGACGTCATAGTCATAACACTGGATACCTACAGCATATATGAAATAAATGGCTAACTTTCAATAATAAACTGTCTATTATTTTACGCTTTCAAATTGTCAAATACATTTATTGAACTCTTTCCAGCATTGTCAATCAGTTTGACATTGATACCAACGATGAACGCTAAGTGAAAACTGTTCATGAAATTATTGAATGTAACTATTTTACCTCTCATTATTGACGTTACAGGTTGGCCATACGGTTCGATGATGTGTAAAGTGACGCCTTACCTGCAGGGCGTGTCTGTCTGTGCGTCCGTCAACACTCTAGCCGCCATTGCACTCGACAGGTAGTATACTATTGTATTGGTCGCCATTCTTTCCTGGATTCTGAGACTGTTCGATAAACAAGTATTTTATATTGTTTAAAATATATCTGACCATATTTTATTGATATGTTTCAAATATGAATGTATACCTTTGCATCTTATACAAAGAAGGATACACGACTGTATGAGCTTTGATAATCTACGAGTAACACAGACAGATGACTGTTTCGGGCTTTGTTTCTATGCACATCTTAAATCAAAATGTCCATAAAAACCATCAGAATAAGAATTTACATCCAAATCAAATGTATTCAATGAAGAGTAGACATGTATATATTTAAAGCCTGATTTCCCGTTAAACATTCGGACGACTTGCTCTGTAATATATAACGACAGGTAAATGATGAGGTCATTGTACATCATAAAATCAGTACAACACATTAGACAGCGGTCTGGTGATAATTTACAGACGCTGTTAACAAGAGAATACGAGACACGTCCGGTACAGACATATATTTATCACTCAGTTCCAATCCACACGCCAGTCTCCTGGTATCTCTTTCTTCCGCAAATTAAAAATGATTGCATTTCTATGTCTTTCGGTACATTATCTTTATAGTAAGCGTCTGTTTAACTAAGATGCTTCAATGTCGTTTATTCTATGTAATATATAGGTGACCGACTTGATATCTATCACTTGAGCTAAATCAGTTCCATCGATAATAATTGTTGCTTATAAGACTCAGAAAGCAGTTCATCGGACAGCTCATGAGGGAAATACATGTTGTTTTTACTGTGAATGTTACGGCACAAAACAACTGTTTGGTTACATCATGTATTGGAGTTTGGCTCCAACAGTCCCGTATAACTTATTCTTTGATCGATGCATTGATGATGTCGTCTGCCGACGGTTACGTTCTGTGTTAGTCCCCAAAAACACTCAGTTGAAGCCTTGGCGCGCTCAACTAACGGGTCAAAATTAGTGACCGGTGAATACTTTTGAGTGTTGACAGACATGTAATGTTTTCCCTGTAACTATTCCGGGGAAACATTAGAATTTGTTGAAAAACCGTTCATATTTAGTCAGAAGAGTATCTATGGAAAACGTATAAGTCAGTCAAAGCATTTTACTTGACAATAGTTTTGAATGTTGCCTAGCAGTCATCCATTTGACCTACCAAACCGCCAGTTGGCTATGGTAAGGACTATTGCTTCTTTTAGCAAGCTGACTAGTCATGTGTTCTTTACCACCACAGGGAAAATAATCAGTAAACAGGTTCACCAAACGACATCATGTTATCATTGGACATCGCTTTGTCGATGAAGATTTACTGCCTTAATATAGAACTTTATTGATAATTTGACAGTTACAGCTGGTTAGAGCCCCGGAAACAGTGCACCATCTCGGGGAATTTGATTGATTATACAATACCATAACTCTTGGGTTTGTTTTCACTTTATTGATATCATCGATATTTTTACAACATTAGAAGAACATAATACATTCTACTATAGTACAAGCATTGATAGACATAGAGTTTGTACTTAAGTAGATAGACGAAAATATTTCTGCTACAGAACCAGCAGATTTTTTTCACTCCAGTAGACAAACATACATATTTCTTCGAACGTAGATCAACATACACATTTCGACTGTAATTAAACAATAGGTACACATTCCAACAAAACATAATTACCATTTTTATAACAGTAGATTCAAAGTTGACATTCTACAATCACATTTGCATACAGTATCAAAAGACATTTTGCTTTTAAGATAGAAAATATGGAAAGACATATTTTAATACAACAGACAAACATAAATCTGTTTACTTGAATAGATAAACTTAGACCTATCAACGACAGTAAACATTAAACGTTCAATTGGTGTCTTCATCATTATTAAATAAAAGAGGATATCGAGAGTTATTATTATATTTACAACATTAAATACAAATATAGTTCACGCGTGCTGGCATTAATTTTTATTATAAATATAATGTTTAAAATTTCAAATATATAATAAAATCGATCGAACATTGAGCTACGATTCCCGCAACTAACGACAATATGGTATGTCAATGCTAGTCATAGATTTTATCTAGTTTATATATTACGTATGTCTAGGTTATGCTAGATATACAAAACATTCAAGCCATATCAAAGTTCGTCTGCTTGTTTATAATGTGTACCATAGAGTACGGCTACTGTATTTCGGTTTATTATAATCTACCATTTTCAGTTTCAGATACAACTTTCTAAACCACGAACTATAACCACAATCGTTTTAACAAACATTTTCTTTGGTCATTTCAGATACTTGGCTATCTGCTACACTCTGAATTACAAACTGACCGGAAAGATAGCCCGAGTGGTGATGGGCTGTGTTTGGGCGTTCGCCTTGTGTATCATGATTCCTTGGGCTGTCTATTACCAGCATGACCAATATCGGTCATCGATACAAGCCATTTACATCTGTCGTCTTGTTTGGCCTAGCCAGGTTTCCGGGAAATTCTTTTTGGCTGGAATCTTCCTAGTGTGTTACACCATCCCACTACTTCTTATTGTCGTCTGCTACGCACTCATCGGTTTACGGGTTTGGAACAGGAATGCTCCAGGGATATTCAAATCTAACGGAATCATCCACAAGTCCAAAGTGAAAGTGATCAAAATGCTCCTTGTCGTTGTCATATTGTTTGGGTTGTCATGGTTACCGTTATATGCCGTCAATCTCAAGATAGTTTTTTCGCCGCCATCTTTGACAGACATGAATACAGTGACAATACTGTATGATTATTTGGTGCCGGTTTCACAATGGCTGGGACTAGCAAACAGTGGGATAAACCCGCTCATTTACTGTTTGTTTAGTAGGAAAATCAGGACAAGAATTAAGGTTATGGTCACCTGTAACGAAACGCAAGAATTTAAACGCCAGTTTAGAAAGTTTTCTAGTACGAAGTATGTTTCCGTTGACTATACAAATGGTCACGTGACATTGAGAACTCATGGAACAGAGAAAGAAAGGAGAACAAGGTCACTGAAATCCCTTAACAATGTGTATGACTGACTAGCCGCGCATTTGTGTTTCTGTTGTAAGTAAACTTTTAATTGGCTGGATACGTCATCTATTATTTCTGTTGCAAACAAAGTTCTGATTGGCCATATACGATATATTACATCTTTTAGTATTTTGTAAATTACTACATTGTATTTTTAAATATGCTGATTTTTTTCTTGAGAAGATGCTGATAAACACGAAATAGGATCCAATCATCTTCTCTTAAACTGTTCTGAATGAGAGAAAAAAGGTCCATGAACTTGTGTTATAAAGAGAAAGGGCGAAATTGAACCTTAATCTATTTAATCTATTTACTCATGTGTATTGTAATTATTGATGGTGTTCGTGAATTAACTGTTAATTTACATTGCTGTCGATTTGTTTTTCATGATTGACTGAGAAAAAGTTATCAAAATGACATTAACATTGTAAGCAGAATAATCTAATCTGTTCTTAAACAAATGAAATGTCATCTTTGTTTTTAACAGCTTTTATCACACACAAAAAAAAGTAAATCGTTCTAGTGTTGGTACGACTGTGTTATATTGTAACAGGAAAGAAAATGGTTTGCTTCCACCGGGGATCGAACCCTCGATATTTAGGTTCCTAGTCGGACGCTCTACGAATGAGCTAAAGGGAAATTCCTTCAAGCTGGAAGCTAGAAGGCGACCATAATCCTATTTAAAAATAAAACCTGCCAAAGTATAAGGTCTCACATGTAACTGGTAACGTTGTGAAGGTATTCAGTGTAATAAGAGCTGCAAGAAGCGAAGCTCTTTTCCGGTAACATGTACGAACAATTGAAGTCATTGTAACGTCGATATACTATGCTTCCAAAATCCTTCGTCACGGAAGTAGCTAGTATAGAGTTACCGCGGTCCTATTTTTACGATGCTGTTACTCTTTGCTACACATTCTCAAAAATATCTCTTTATTTGATAAAAAAAAATCTGTGGTTATGTGCAATCATGACATTAAAAATTATAGAAACTGCAGCTTCTTTCTAATTTTCGGTCTTTTCTTCTCTCCACCCAAACCGGAAGTATATAGTAACTACCAAACCAGACGGAAATCCGGATTTGTTTAGGCTATTGTGATTCTCTTTTTACACGATTTAGAGGGATCAGGCAAAGTATATCATGTCGGAAAATAAAATTGGAATTTAATCACCAATATACTTAACTTTTATAATAACAGATAATAACAGTAATATTTGATAAACAAAACATCTTCAAATATGAAGTCCCTCTACTGGGCCTCACTCTTTCCGCAACATTACGCTGAGGCCATAGACGGGGCAATTAAATGCAACAGTACCAAATGCATTTGTGTTTTCTCTTGAACTGCATAATTCATTCGAATGCTTTTCTTTACTATTATTAATTTTACATTTATTGCTATAAAACGAATAAATAGATAATATTTTAAACAATGTTATTTAGAAAATAAGATTGAAAAAATAGCATTTAGACGCTTCTCGCGTTTCAGGCAATGCCTGTTTTCAAAATGAACGATTTTGCCCAGCAACAGATTCAAGCATATTATTTATTTATTTTTGTAATTTTTTATTTTTTTCCAAATTTATAACAATGCAAATATATCATACATAAACATTATTCCTCTCACACATTACAATTCATTCATTAAATATTCATTTATAATAAACTTCATATTTCCAGGTATAATTAATAATTAATTATGTTTATGTATAATTAAATTACAGCTAAAGTGTGTCCGTTATATAAAAGCATTGTTTAGAAGTGATAGAAAAGAGGTTAGGCAGGTCCTAGAGGTATAGAAGGGAAAGTAAGACTAAGAGAGATAAAAAAGAAAAGAAAAAAAAGAAAAAGAAATGAGGGGGGGGTGGAGATTGAGAAATAAAGAAGCTATATAGATGTGTCGGAAAGTTCAAGGAGTTTTACATATAAGTATTTAGAAGTACACGTTTATATAAGAAAATTCAATAGCTATATGTTCATATGTTGGCAAAGACAGGGTTTAAGCAATATTAATTAGACTTTCCCATTTTTTCCATTCAGTATTGAATTTCAATAAAAATAATTCATTTTTATTAACAGCAATATATCTCTGAGTAAAATATGTGTCCTTGAAGGGTTCTTAAGTGCAGCTACAGACAATGACATTTGTAAACATCTCGATTTATAAATAATTCAAGTATATTATAAAAAAAAAAAAAAAAAACAGGTACATTTTGTATGTATTAAAATGGGTAATGTTTTGATTCAAAAATTATACTATACCATTGAAAAAAATGTACGAGCTTCGCTCTCTCCAGGCCATGCCTGAGTCATATTACACTTTTTTTACCAGGCCTGAAGTGTCGTCACATACTGCCGCTACGAACAACAGAGATGATGGGCAATTTATAAGAGCGCCGAAGGCACCCGTGCGAAGCTCTTTACCGGTAACATGTGCGTGTAAATAGATCTGATCCAACCTAACTGATTCCATCACTGAATCGTACAGCTACCGCCTAGAAACCTTTCGTACTTCCGGTGACCTCTTCCGGTTTCATGGAGCTCGTAAATATGCCTAATCGAATAATAGAGCGACATGTAACGTAGCACAGAAATTATGTATTCGAAACTACGATTTTTTCAAAAAATATTGACCATATTCAAAAAGATACTGACCATATTCCGGTTTCATGGAGCGAGTTTATTTCCACGATTTCTTTACTTTTCTGCCGAATCGAGAAAAGAGTTAGCATGGTCATCAAAAAGCTTACATTAATGTAGTCTCGTTCAACCAGACTCTTATCGTCTGCGGTTGAACGAAACAAAAAATTAAGTCACAAACACAATTGTACGAATTAAGCAGGGTCACTGAAGAGGTCGCTTGATTCTCATTGGATAATAAAAGGTCAAATCATTGATGAGGTCAAATTTCACGGGTCGTCTGCTGCAGTTGTACACAGATACACATGTGCAAAGGAATCACCGGCAGCTTTCAACGGGAAACGTAAGGGTTTTCAAAGGGTCATTACTTGCTCTGCTTTAAGAATATCATTAAGGAAGACTTAGACACATACCATTTTGACCACTTTTACTTTGTGTTTAACAGAATGCATAATATGCGTCCATCAGCAACCATTTCTATTGAAAATCAAAACTATTCTGCATATGATGTACCTGGTGATGGCAACTGTTTTTTCCACTGTCTAAGTTTATCATTCAATAGTGACTGACTTCTCAAATACTGACAATTTCAGAAAGCAAATTTGTACAGAAATCTACCAAAACTGGGATACATGGGCAAATGAACTTGCTTTAGCACATTACCCCTCTATTACAAAATCTAGTTACTGGAGGGGAATGGTACAAAATGTAGGTTGGGCAACAGTTTGTGAAATCAAAGCTAAGGCTTACTGTTTAGGACTGGACATAAATGTGTGGTTGAAAGGGCAAAATATACAGAAGGAGACCATATTTATTTTGTCACATTACAGCACCTCAAATCAAGGTAAGAAGGGGCCTTCAAATTCAGTGGACCTTTTATTAGAAAATGCTCACTTCAAACTCTTGATACCCCAATACAAAGGAACATCTGATCATACATATACAGCCAGTTTCAGTGAAAAAACTCCAAGCAAATCATCCTCAATTTCACATGCTTCTGTTGATCACAGCTACCATGCCATTGATCACAACTACCATGTAACATCAGGAGAGACAACTCCCCCTCAAAATGTTCATTTAAACACATCCCCATTTCTTCCATCCAGCAAATCAAAACAAAACTTTAATGAAAATGTTGGGAAGGCAACTGCAAGATCATTACATGCATCAAGTCTTCCAGCTAAATGTCTCAACACTAAACAACCAAAAACTCACAAAATGACAAATATACATTCATTAGCTACTGAATGTGAAAATGAAAGTGATGTTGGAATCAGAAAAAGAAAAGCAACAAAGAAATCATCAAATGTACCAAATCCCGACACATGCACAGCCATCCCAAATTCAAATCAACATTTCCAAAACGTATGAACTCGAACACAATCGGATCTGAAAAGTTAATTCAATCACAGTGTAGAAAATTTGGACTTGTCTTTGAACATGCCAATGAAAATGAGAGTACAAGAGAAACAAAAAACAGACATCGCAGAATGCAATACAAAATAAAAACACAACAAAACAAAATTTCAGATAATGCCATCATTGAAGAAAACATTCCTTCTGCTCCTCCTTTCACAAAAGACAATCAATTCAACACGTTCATGGATCCAGTTAGGGCTTTTGAAGTGAAGCAAATGTCCTACAAAATACATACTTGTTGTGTTTGTCATGAAAAAAGGATTGACATGAAAATTTCTGATAATGGTTCATGTAAACGTTGTTCTATTGATCGATCTACCATAAAAATGTTTTCCATACAAAACAATATGTATCAACAAAAACAACCAGAAGAGTTTTCAGGAATGACAATATTAGAACAACAATTGATATGCAGAATATCTCCATGCATAAATGTCCACATGCTCAAACATGGGGGCATAGCTTCACGCGGCCACTGTGTGACGTTTCCCCAAGAGGTTAATGAGCCAGCTCTCATATTTCCCAGGTTGCCACAAGAAATAAGAATTATCAGAGTAAGAAAGCAAGGTTAAAAAGAAACATCAAAAGATTTTCGAGTGCGTCGATATCAAATTCAAAAAGCACTGACCTGGTTGAAAAGTAACAATCCTGCCTACACCGACATCATCATATCTGATGAAAGGCTCAGTACATTACCATTTGATAGTGAAATCGAAGACATGGAAAATGTTGAATTTCTGCCAAGCACAGAACATGCAGATCATAAGGGTCCTTCAGAAGACCAAATCAACCCAGGGGAAGATATTGATGGTGACACCAACTCAAGTGTACTGCTACCAAGTCAATCTTGAAACTGACATAAATTCCATCAACACAATCATCACTGAACACAACACAGCACAAAATCTTTCGACCCTCAAATTTGACAATGACACAATAAGGGTTTCAATCAAACATCGAGGAAAACATGGTCAAAATCGCAAAATAATCACAAAGTATGATTACACTAAGTTATACGATGGTGTCCATCCTGAAACTTCACTTGCAAACAAATGGTTTGAGCTTATATGCCAATCTATCTCTAGGTATCTACAAAATCTAAAATCTTTTAATGTATAGTGGTGGGAGACGTGACAGTCTCTAACCTGCTGTGTCTAACATGTTAAACATATTGTTGTTCGGAATAAAATACAAATACATGCTTCATGGATTGGCATATCACACTAACAGCTCAAACCATTTGTTTTTAACATTCTGTCTACAACTCACATTATCATATTTACCCATGAAAATCTTCTTTTTTAAATTACATCTGTTTCTTTTAAACTTTTGGATAAAAATAATAATACATATCACTATTATTATTATGAACATACATTATTACAGGGAGGGGATATATATACTAACTGGTATTCCTGGATATTACTTTCAATACATGGTCTAGTAGTACTGTACAT